ATCCATCCATCTCTGGCTTCTCCATTACCTTCCTTCAATTTAGTCTTTCACAGCCTGAACACCCTGTTGCAGTTTCTTGCTGGCAGGTTTCTTTTGTGATTTCAGAATATTGCTCTGCTGCTGTTGGTTGAGAGTGGGCAATGCGATTTGTCCATGGTGTTCTAAGGGTTTGGCTTGTTGATCACTTGATTGTGTCAGCCTGTCAGATTGGGGGTTCAGGAAAGCCACCGAGTGGAGGAATACCTGTGTGAGCCTGGAATGTGGCCCCATTTTCAATTACAGATAATTTCCTGAGAAGTCTGAGTAGCCTTAAGATGCTCAAGAGGTACCTGGTGGAATTTTCTCTATAGGAAGAGTTTGAACACAAGGCTGTGTTTCCTGGAAGAGCCTGAAATAAGAATCTGTCCTTGCCTGACAGATGCATGAGTTTGCTTTTGCAAGACCTCATTTTCTTTTTATACCATTAATTCCAAGCAAATACTTAAAGGCTGCCCAGGATATGGAAGGGCTTCCGAAAGGAGCTTGTGCTAACGGGCGGGAGGAACACTCTGGCTAAAGAATTTGTGCTATAAATGTGGCAATCTGTCTTACTTCTATCAGGAAGGCAAAGGGGGTGCACTACTACTCGTGCTGGCTGTGGGAATTTTTTTTTAAGAAAGGCACCTTTCCTTCCCGCTTTCTGTAGCGAGCTGCTGGGCTGTCAGCAGTCTGACAACAGGTCCCTGCAACCTGTCAAACAAGCGTGCTGACCATTTTGTGCTGTTGGGAGCAATCTTCAAATAAATGTGACTCAAAGCAATGAGGAGAAGTCATAAGTATTCTTTCTCTCCCTGCTGGTATGTGGGAAGTTCCAAGCGTGGCTGAAGTGTAACTGGACTGAGGTAGGCTGCAGCTGGTTACCAAGGTGTGGCACTACCGCCCATCCTTGCAACAGGACTTCTGGAGAGCTTGAATTGATCCTGCTTCCCTTCCAGCATTCCCTCCAGCGTTATTTCTTTTGGATGGGCTCCTGTGCTGATGCAGAACCTGAGCAACATGAGTTGCTGCACAGTGCCCCAGAGGTTTGTCAGCTGGCAGAGGGACAAACATCAGAGCCCCTTCTGTAGCCCTTGGCACAGCATCTCTACACGTACCCTGCAGGGCATTCTGTATTACATCGGTGCTGGGCTGGTCTTGTATTTGTCACACGTGAGGGTGTAGTAGCTGCCGAGTGTATGTGATAGTGCTCTGGTATCAATAACTAGCAGCACTATGCCAGTGCTCCGCTTGAGGCGGATCCAGTCTGGTGCACAGGGTTTTTAAATGAAGTGCTAAGCCTACCTGCTTACAAATCCAGTCTGTAAGAAATGGTATGTGTGGATTTACGAGTCCTAAGCTGTCTCAGTCCTGGAGATAATGTGCTTAAGCCCATATATTTATAGACTTACTGTACTTGCTAGAAGAGGTTAACCTTGTCAGGGGAAGGAAATTTTTTTTTTTTAAAGATTCTGTGGCATCCCCAGGTCCTCCACAAAGCTGGTTACTGAGCAGATCTGATCTGAATCCTGAAATAATAGTTTGTACTTGAACACCCATCCAATGTCCTCCAGTGCTGGCTTTGCTCTGGAGGGTGCTGGCTCTTAGTCCACATTTCAGCGATGCCTTTCCTGCCTGCGGTGTACACTTTACATGCATGGCTCTGTAAAGGTCCTGAGGCTTAAATAAATATCATCCACAGGGCTAGCATGCCCTGGTATCTTCCAGCTTCTCTTCCTAGCCTTGGACTGACTCGCTTCTGAGCCCCAAATGAGCAAGCCCTAGGGAGCTGTTTGCTGTTGCTAGGCCTTGTTGATCCATTAGTCATCTCGAAGGAAAACCAATTAGGAAAATGGAGTGCCATTCCTTTTGGTCTATCTACCAAAACTGTGACAGAAGATGGACGGCTGCAGTCCCTGCAGTGCTCCTGCCTTGTGCCGAGTCCTCTCTTCCTAACGTCCCTTTCGATTTTCTTATCCTTCAGCCTCTGCCTGTCAAATTGATGCATTTCCCTGCCTGGCATCCTACAGTCCCTGTAAATTACAGCTAGTTTGAAGTGAGTTCATGACTTGTTCTAGGAACTCTTTCCAGTCAGAAGTGCCTTCAGCTGGAGACGGTCTTTTCCTCTGTTTTTCTTTCCCTGGTGGAGTCCAGTGGGGAGGTCCAGCCCACTCGTGTGAGCGGCTGTGTGCTTGTGTGACTTTCAAATCCTTGCTGAAAGCCCAAGGTTGCACACACAGTCCTTTCTGCATTGCTTTGGCCATTAGTGCTGTGCTGGCTTGTGTGCAGGTTGGAACAGGAACCCACGAGTCTGCTGCGGGGTTGGAAGCTCAGTGGTCGCCCTGGGTGAGACTGGATGCTGGTTGCTGAGGTGGTCCCTTGTGTCAGCCACTAAGTTAGAAGCCCCATCCAGCCCAGGGACTGAATTTGAGAGTAACCCTGTCATTGCCACATCTGAAAAGCTAAACTATCAGGATTTTTATAATTGAATAAAGAATTTGAATAAAATTAATCTGGAGATATTTTTTAGAAGGGATAGGTAATGTTTATTTTCTTCCACCTCTACAGGACATTGCTCGTCTCCTACAACAGAAAGAACTGCAGGAAGAAAAGAAGCGCAAGAAGCACTACCCAGAATCCCACGGACACACAGTCTATGAAGATAGCTATTATGCAGAAAATGGAGGTATGTTTCTGCTAGATAAAGGGTCAAGATCACGGCAGCATAGGTGAACCTGGTGATCTGGCAACTCCATTTAGATTTCCCTTATCCTACAGTCCTGCATTCAGCACTGTAGCATTGCATCAGTTTCCAGGGTCAGACTTTTTTCTAGAATCAGGAAATATTTTTTAAAAAAAGAAGACAATTTTATAATTTTTGATGTCCTAGAAGATGGCCTAAAGGACAGGGGTAGGGGGTGTGTGTGTGTGTGCAAACACACCCATGCATGTGTGTTTTGAAAGAGCTTGTGGAAAAAAACAGTAGCTGATGGTACAGATAAGCCACAGTTACTTCTGTGTAACACCACAAGCATGTGGGGGGAGAAATGCAGATGCAATTCCACACTTGCATTCAAAGAGAAACATTTCCATGTGCTCATCTGCAATGCTGATACAGCTACGTGCATAAAGGAATAACTGCTGGTTCATGGAACAGCCTTTCAAAAATAACTCCTTGCAGGTATGTATCCAAGCATTAAAATTAGCACAACTGCTTTGAATGACTTACTGAATAACAAAGTCATCTCTACAGAATGTCTGTGCTGTGATTATCATCTGGGACTGTACATTGTGGAAAACATATGACCCACAGCGCTGTATTGCTTTCTCTTGGTCCGCTTTTATGATTGAATACAGACCTTCTTTAAATCGGGAGGAGAGAATTGGGGTGTGTTTAATTATGGAGCAATCTGGGGATGGCTTTGCTGTGCACTGGTGGTGGTTCTTGTGTTCTTTCTTCGAAAAAAGAAAAAAATGTGGTGGGTAAGAGACGGGATGCTTTTCATTAACAGATTGTGAAGATGAAGATCAAACCTCTTATTTCTCTTAACATCAGTGCCATTGGCAATTTTAAATGTCTTTTATTTGAACTTACACAAAGTATTTCAGTTTCAATTGGGAAGAAGTTCAAGATGGCCAAAAAAACCCCACAAAGCACAAAGTGCAAAACAGTAATCAAGTAGAAACTTCATGACCCCAAGTTCTGCTACGTGTACAGAGCTGGCAGAGACTTTGATCTTGGAGTCCTATGGCCAACCCACTTCAACTTTTCAGAATTAAATAGGGCAAGTCCCTGAAAAAATACTGTATAGGTAATAGCATTATGATGCAGAGATGGTAGGACAGGATGGATTTTTGTGTAACAGAAGTCAGCTGACAAAAGCCTGTGACTGAACTGAGACTGTGGTGTGGATTTGGAAAGCAGGATGTCTTGTGGGTCTGATTTTAATTCCTGCAATAACCTGTAGTCTCAGAGGTGAGGTAGAAGGTGTTTTGCCTGACCATTCATAGTTGTGCTGCTCTTGATCCGCGCTCCTTAAAAACTAGAAATGACTGGAGTGGATTTTGATGCCTGGATCATCCAGTCCATTGATCTGGAGCCTCTTAAATACTTCATCACCATTTGAATAGGCATCAGCATCCTCAGTTTGTATTTTCTTCATTACTTGTGAACTTAAACGGGGGAAAAAAAAAAAAAAAGCCTTTGCTTTGTTTGGGTTTTAGTCTGTCATGAGACTGAATAAAAATTTATCCACATCCAGGAAGAATGTGGGTTAGGGCTATTGCTCCAAAGCAATCTGAGCTCTTAAAAAGTGGAAAAATAAACATGAAAAAAGGCAGAGTTCCTCCCAGAAGTGCCTGTGCCATGAAAAACATTTCTGTGTTCGCTCAGTCACTTGCTGCTTGAGAGAAGAATGCCAGGATGTATTTACATGGCCCCTGCAGAAGGTGCCGCAGGAACCAGCACCTGCTGAGGAGTTAATCGCCCAGAGATACCCCAAAAGCAAATCTTCTGCTCGGGTTGTCTGGCATGGTTGTGTTACCTGCAGCGATGCTTTCCCAGCATGGCCACGCTCTTCTCTTTCATGATCTCCTGCTCTCTGCTGCTGTATTTATTGAGCTTTCCTTAATGACAAAATCCAATTAATTCTTAGACTCTTGTTAATATTGTTCAGAAACTGACTCTGGCTTTCAGGCTCTAGTCTCCCATGTTCAGTAAGTCACTCTAGATTGTTTTATTGGATATTTGTTTTCTGTAAATCATGTGAATGATTTAAAACTGAACCGAAAACCAGCCAGTTAACTGGAACTGCTGTGGTTACTCTTACAGTTCTTGGATTTTTAAAAATATACCTGTTCTGGATAAGTCACACAAGGTGGATTTTCTATAGGCTGTATTTTTGCTGGCTCTGAAAAAGTTTTTTCTGAATAGAATGACTTGAAGGGAACATTCAGTTTTGGTGTGTTAGTGGAGGTTTTTTAATGTGCGTGTCATCACACCCTCTTCCCACCCACCCCCCATCCCCCCCAAATCTAGATGATTGTAAGGAAGGCAGAGCTATTTATTAAAACAGAATGCAGTTCATGTGCAGTGAAATCTATTTTAAATATTTTTAGATACTGTAAAAAAACCTCTCAGCAGTGGAGAAGGAAAGTCTTATGCTGCTGGCTTGGGGTTTTTTTGTGTAGCTCTGTTTCAAATCAGCCTCTGCTTCAAGGCAATTTTTTTCTTCAGAAATATGCTGTCATTCTGAAAATCTGCTGTAGAGATACAATAGTTCAGTCAGTGCAATGATTTTTTCTTAGCAAATAGGTTGATTGGCGAATAAATTGATCAGCAGATTGTATGCAGGCAGACTACTGAATCCTCATAGCTGTGTCAGGTTTATTACTGAAACGAAAAGCAAAGAAAATTTCCACCTGCTTTCTGGAAAGCACGGAGGAAACAACCCCGCCAAGCTGCTGAGTAAGCGGCTTTTCCAGCTACAGTGCTGAGGTCAGGAGCCTGGGTTTTGTGAAGTCTTATCCTGTCCTTAAGTTTCTCTAGCCCTCTCTTGCAGTCAAAGCCTAAACTTTTATTTAGACAATGAATAAGTGCGGGCTGTGAAACTTCTGAGTCTGCAAGGGATATGTGACAGTCTGGTGGAAGATATTTGGATGCTGCAGCTATCCATCATCTTGTTCTTGCTTTTTTTTTTAAAAAAAAAAATAAAAATCCAATCCCACTTGTCTCCTTTTTCTTCTGCTTTATGTGGGCCTTTCCCCTGTTAGGTGAGGCTGTTTTTTCTGATGAAAATCCTTGTGCTGAAGCAAGGGCAAGGCACAGGTACTCATAAGCCAGGATGCAGTCTGACCCTCTGCTCAGCCCCTCCTGGCTTTACACCCTCCCCATTGCCTCTCAGCCTCACCTGCATTTTGCACCCTTCTTTGCAAGCCCTTCTCTGATGGTTTCGGTATCCTGCAGCAGTGACATGTTACCACGAGACAAGCTGCTGCTCGGGCTGATTTTCAGCCCCAATAACATCACATTAAAAGTCCTTCAACTCCATATTGGCTTGCCCTTGTCTTAGGAGGTGCTTGGACACACTTTTGGGCTGGACCTGTGCTTTCTGCTCCAGCCCCGCTGCCTCCTGTGCTGCCCTGCTGCTGGCCAGACTGCCATTTCGCTCTGCCCCCCGTTATATCCTGCAAGCATTGTATCCCTGTTAGTCTTCTTTCTGCTCCCGTCGTGCTTTGCCTGCATTTCCAGCTTCTCCTTGCATCAGGCTCCCTCATCTGCATGCTGGGAGTTTGGCCTCGCTGAGCCACCGTTAACCCCCGCACTACTAACCCACTCACTGTTTGTCCCCCCCATTGCTCAGAGCACCCCCGGGGTGACCCCAGAGAGCAGGTTTCTGAGCCTCACAGGGCACGCAATGGTGACAGGCGCACGCACTGGCACAGAGAGCACCGAGAAGCACCCTCACCTTTGTCCGGTGCTTCTGAACGTGGGCATTCCACCTCGGAGGATCGTCGGAGGTCTCCTCAACTGAGTGGGGCCAGCAGTGGCCATCAGCAGGAGTGGAAATCAGCCAGCCAGGGAAGGTCCAGGAGACATCCCAGCCTTGACCTGGAAAGAGAGGCTGAGCCTGGTGCCTGTGACCACAGCAATAGCTGGGAGCTGCAGGAGAGGAGAGCGGCTGGCAGGGAGAAGGCTCGGAGACCTCTCAGTCTTGATCTGGAGTCAGAGCGTGGACTCGCGGACCAGGCACGGCGCAGCAGAAAGCCAACAAGGCAAGACAGAGAAAAGCACCTTCCTCTTCTTGAGATGGAACTGGAGGCTGAGCAGGAGACCTGGCATCGGGGTGGCAGTCAGCTGGTGCACCCTGAAAAACACAAATCTCGTCATCAGGGCCACTCATCGCGCAGGATGGTGCATGACGAGAATCTCCGTGATGCTGAATCTAGAGGTGATCATAGGAGGGGTGAGGAGAGAGACTGCAAAAGGGCAGGACGCAGGAGATGCTCCCCCTCCCCACACGCTGTGACCCAGGGGAAGGTTGGAGATTGCCAGCGAGACTCAGGTAACCAAGTGATGGGGAAGGTGTACATACACGTGGGGATGGGATGGACCTTTGTGTGCCACATCCTGGTGTCTGAAGTCTGTGTTGTTTCCTTTGAAAATGCTTATCTCCAATAAGCCTGCAATGTGTGCATGGTGAATCCTGCCCAGGTTTCTCCCTTATTTAGTGAGATTCTTCTTACCCATTATGTTCTGTGTTCTGTGGCATCAGAGAGGGTGAGTAAGAAGATAACTGTTGCAAATGGTGCCCTTGGTTTTAAAAAAAACACACACAAAAAAACTCAAAACCAAACAACCAGATTTTGTTTTCATGATATGTTTTTGTGCTGTGATCTCCTTGCACAGCAGAAGAAACAAACAAACTAACAAAACCCCAAATGTTATGATTACACTTGTATTTTGTTGATTTGGGCTGCTGGGCTGTGAGGACAGCTTGCTTAAGCACTAACAAGCCAGCAATTTCCATCCACTTCTTATTGAAAACCCTGCTGGCAACATAATCAGTTCACTTTGGGCAAAGTTCAGTAGTGGCACTAGGTGTCCAACTCGGCTCTGCTTGTAAGATGGGGTTCTTTGTCAAATTCTGTACAAGTGGATTTTTCTGGGAAACATGTACCTGTGTAGTTCTTCTTGTTCAATAATGCTTGGAGACTGGTGAACTTTAAAGATCCTTATCCATCTTTCTGCTTTTAAAACCACACTAGGGGTGGGAGTGACCTGTCTCTTAGTGAAAGTAGGAGTTTAGAGCCTTGGCTCTGTCTGTCACAGCATGGGAAACTTGTGCTTTAAGCCATCTAACTGGTCTTCACTTGGGTGAGGTGGGGGTGGTAATGCGTGTCTGTCTCTGGAGATGCTGGGAGAATTATTCTTCGTCTTCATCTTGCAGAAATTTTCTCTAGGGAAGTAGGTGTTCATCAGATCTCTGTATAATATATATAATCAGTAGGTTGTGATTTGTTCTGATACAACGTGGATCCGAGTGACTCAGTATCCCATCATATTGAGTCAAAGTAGCCAGAAGCTCACATCCCCTTCCTGTGGGCTGTGGTCATAGTGGGCTCTGTGCTCCCCTGAGGCTGGGCAGAAGTGATCTGGAAGGAACATTTATTGTTGTCTTCTGAGCAAATGAAGCCTGGCACCGATCAGCGTGTGAAGAAAGCTCAGCCTTGGGCTGGCCAGCAAACAATTCCTGGAAATTTACTTTTATTCCCCATAGAGGTAATACTGTACAGGAGCCTGTACTCAAAGCAAGAACTGAACCTTGTATGAACTTCAAAAATGTTTACTTGGCTGTTTTCTCACCGTGAGTTCATGGGTCAGCCCAAGGAAGCAGTTGTCTGAAACCTCATGTGAGCCTGTCCCAGGCAACCTTTGCAGCCTGTGCCGTGCCAGCGGTGTGTTCACCGCTGACTCGGTAGCAGTGCTCCACTGTGCTCGTAGCAGATGTTGGGCTGTTTTGTCAGTGTGGCTGTATCAATGCGGAGTATGAAAAATTACAATTCCTTTGTTAGCATTGCTGTGTCAGCAAAGACTGCTTCAGGGGACATGGCCTCTTCAGCCATATAGTTGCATTTGTCATATAAGACATGATGTGTCAGGGAGGTTTCTCTATGCATATAGAAATATCTAAGGTGTGTGCCGCACCTCAGCTGAAGGTGCTCTCAAACCAGCAGTCTGGCAGGTACGCAGTTGTGGTTTCTGCTCCCCTTGAGCAGGGAGATGGTGAGGATTTCCTTACAAAAGCATTTGGAAAATGGTTGAGTTGATTGTTTTCTCTCACAATTTTTTAGGCACTAAGCTGAGGGGGACGAATCAAGCCATGTATGATACACCCCGAAGGGAACAGGAGTTGTCTGATGCAGAGATTGCTCGGAAGCTGCAGGAGGAAGAGCTCCTGGTAAGTAGAGAGGGTGCGTTAGTCAACTCGAAGGAGCTAAGGTAGCCAGCAATGACAACTTTAATTTGCAAAGCTTTTATATATGTGATTGTGACTTTAAGACCTAAGATCTTGTAACTGCATTCTGGTAATTACCTTTGTTTCCCATACATACATGCACACACACAGAGCGATAGCTGGCATCCAGCCAGTGGAGCTCTATTTTCTGAAATAACACCCCAAAATTAAATGATTGAAGCAGAGTGATATTAAATGAAGGTTTCCAGGCAGGTAAAGATGGTGTGTAGTCAGTGTGATCAGCCCAGAAGTAAGACAGGCCCAGTGCCCATCTTTGAGAGAGAGGGCAGCTGGGTGGGCAATGGCAAATACAGGAGGGCAAAACTCAGCTGAAAAGCTGAAACGACAGTTTGGTGTTGGGTTGTGAGGCAAGTGTTGAGCTAGCTAAGTATATTTGGGGAGGATGGTAGTGTATTTGTATGGGTACCTACTTGCCCTGCCCAGTAGGTTAAGGGGTATGAATAATTCGGAAGTGTTACTCTTGTCTCTGTTTTTTACCGTGCGCTGCCCCCTCCCCCCTTTTTTTTTTCCCAGGCTAACGAGGCAGATCAAAAGGCAGCTCAAGTAGCCCAAGATGAGGTGAGCACGAAGTCAGACATTTGTGGTACTCCTTTACTTGTGGAAACTGCTAAACCCCACTTGTCTCCTCTGACCCTGTAATTGTTAGTTCCCCCCCCCTTGTAGTGGAAACTCAGGGCTCCAGTGGGGTTTGCACCTAGCGGGTTCTCACGTGCATGCTTGGGCTGGCCAAGCAGGGAGTTGCTCTGTTGCAACCGTGGCAGAGGAAGGAAGTTCATGGCTGTGTATGAGCATCTCTTGTAATTGAGCCCCAAGGGAGACTATCAGAGATGCTGTGAGATGAACACACCCCCCCTCCCCATTGAAGGAAAAGGGATAAAGGGCAGAAAGGCTCTGCAGATGCAGTTCTGGCAAATTGGGGATCCACTGGGCATGTTGCATGTAGTCAGTCTTAATTCTGCTCTGTCACTTGATTTCTGATTGCAGATGGGTGGAATCCTGGCTTTGCACCCTTCCCATTCAGCAGCTGTCTGTAGGAAAGTGTTTAAACAAACTCAAACCCAGAGGAGCAGTAATACAGTCTGACACTCTCTCTGTATTTTCCCTTCTAGGAAATTGCCCGACTCTTGATGGCTGAGGAGAAAAAGGCTTTCAAGAAAGGGAAGGAGAGAGAAAAGTCTTCCTTTGAAAAGAGGAGGCATGATCAAGACTGGAAGGTATGTCAAGCTTCAGGAGATGCCACAAATGAAGTGCTAAAATGTTATTCCCATTTCCAGAGGGAAGTGAGGGGGTGTGGTGAGAGCAAAAGGAATGATGCAGACCCTTGCATCTGAAGGGTGTTGCTGCCTGTTATTCAGCTGCTTCCCAAGCCTTTTGGAGCTACCTCCTTGGTTAGATGCTCTTTGGCTTCAGTGCCAAGCAAGGTAAGCCTTGGAGATTGGTGCTGGATGTCACAGCACCTTGTGGCCTCCCTCAGGTGCTTTCAGTCCTCCTGGTGCCCAACCTTCCCTCTGCTGAAATCCTTACTGTAGTAATAAAAGCAGTAGTTGGTGTGCTGCAGGTATAAGGACAATGCAGATGTTCCAGTTGTCATTCTGCTTCATGATAAAATTGGCTCTATAGTGAAAGTATTGAGTGTATCAAGCCTAGGTTTTTGTATTAGTAGTACTAGAGAGGCTTGGCTAGCTGATGTGGAGGGTGATAGGAAACAGATTTCAGGGTCTGCACTGGTAAGGCACTAAAGGGGGTGTTGTGTTAATCTTGGGGCCAGTTGGAGGTAGCTCTGATGTTTTCAGCCTTCTTACTGTGTTTGAGCGGTTGCAGGAGCACAGCTGTGTGCAGCTGGTCCCTCATGCTCCACCCAGCCATGCGCACAGTCATTACACACTGACTGCGTTCGACCCCAGCTTTGGGACGAGTCCCCCAGCGCTGTCTCATATTTAGAACAAAAATTGAGTTTGGCTCAGCAAGGCTGACTTTCATTTACTGGAAACTAGTTCGGATACTGCCGTTTGCACGTGTCTGGCTGTACCTAGTTGTGTGTATAAACTGATGCACGAAAGGACTGCATGGAGCTGTGGCAGCCTCAGTGCACTGGCTGGTGTCTTGCAAGGCACGCAGATGAACTGCTTTCCTTTCTTCCCATCAGCATGATGCAAGCGAGTCCACACGCTCAAGGTCAAAAGAAGGGCCTGAAACTCAGCGACACAAAGGCGACAGGTCTTCAAGGTGAGCTTGAACTGGCTACTAAAAATGGGGAAATGCAGTCAGGAAGCTACTCAGGACCTGAGTCCTAAGAAGGAGTTGGGGGGTGACCAGCCTGCCCCACCCACAGGGGGCTTGGTAGAGAGCAGAGGTGTTAGCACTGAGAAGAGATGGAGGGCACAGAGCTCGTGAGGTGTTCAGTGACGTGCGTCACTCGCTGTGCTCGTGGCGTTTGTCCACGTCGGTGTCTCTGCTTGGTGCTGACAGAGATTGATGAGCTTGTGCAGTGACATTTGTTAAATGACAGAGAAGCATTGAGAGGGTTAAAGAGCTTCTGGGGATGTGAAACCAAATGTCATCTCTGAGCAGGAAGGAGTAATCATGATGCATTTACATAGCTGCTCCCTTGGGTTCCTGCTCCCCAGTTAAGCCCTGTACACTGCTCCTGCTGCTGTGTGTGGACACCTCTCTGCAACCAAGTATGTTGTGCTTTTGGGGTGCCTCACTCCAGAGCTGATGGGAACGTGCTGTAGCCCAGTGCTGCTTTTGAGTCACTTGGTACCCTGGCCTGATGCTCCTCATGAGGGAACGATCCCTGGAAGTGACCCCAGTGGCTTTGATTTCTAATCAGCCTAGAAATTCTTGTTGAATTTGCAAAAGAAACAACAAATGAGATGTGCATATAGAGACTGAGAGAGATCCTGTGAACATATTCTGGAGTTAAAACTGTGCAAGCATTAAACACTTCAAAATGTCACTCTCTTGAGCGGGGTTTGCATCAAGCTTCATAATGGAAATTCTTTGTTTCCTGACAATGTGAAACCATTATCAAATGAAAGTGGTCCATAAGGAGTAGTAGTAAATACTGTGCATTTCTCACCGTGGAAGGAGTAACAGGCTGTGTGCAGAGGAGCTGGTCTGCAGGTGGGAAGTCTGGGCGGCCAGCCACAGTTTGTATCAAACTGACAGGGACAGACCAGGCAGCTGAAATGTTGCTTTTGCCACACTGTTATGCCATTGAGGTTTTTTCCCCAACACTTTTTTTCTCACTGTGCTTAGCAGGTCACAGCCTCTCCTTGATGACTTTGAACACGCTCGATATTACACAAGCCAGCCCAGCCCCTTGCGCCAGACCCCCAGACCTGAGCACTCTCCTAAAGGTAGGATCAAGCCCGTGGTTGCTCCACCACCTGGGTTATTGTGGGCTGTTTTCCTCAAATAACCAGCCTGCAGGACAGGATGTTCGAAAGAGGGGTGCTAATAGAGAGGAGGAATGGATATTATTGCCCCAGCAGGGAGGCGATGCTATTCAGTGTTCAAGTTCTATTTGCTGAGCAGGCTGAGAGATTAAAAAACTGAATAGGTTTGCCTTGAGTTTGTCAAACTGCTCCCTGCTTGTCCTTTGTGATCTCTTAATGATAAATGACTGTAAATCCAGGCAGCAAATGAAGGAGAAATAACATGAAGACAATGACATGATGGATTTTAGGTGACTCACTAGTATCAAACAATCCAATACAAGACAAAACCTCACAGTTTCACCTGTCTGGCAGGTGGATGGGATGATCAGACAGAGCTTGTCATGAGAACAGGCTTGTTTTGTTCCTGTAGCATCTCCGCACTGCTTTGTTGGCTCGTTTCCTGAAATCGCTAGGCACAAGAGCAGTGTGGTTAGGGTCGCCCTCCCCATTTTTTTTTTTTTTTTTAAAATCCAAGTGCCAATTGTCTGAGTTATCTGTATAGAGTCTCTGCAGGGGGAAGGGGGCAGCCGGAGTTTGATTCGGTTGCTCAGATTTCTTCCAACTCTACTGATTGTGACTTAAACATGGACAGTTTTGTTACATTTTCTTTAGTGAGATTGTGAATGTGGTTGCAGTGCTGTTCACAGCCTAGAAGAAATGCAAATGCCTGCCTGTCTTGTGGACCTGTCCTTCCTTTTGCTTGCATAAAGTAACAGACAGTTACTTTTGCCATTTGACTTTACCAGTACCCTGGAAGTCACACGGACATCCAAGAGGGTAGGACAAATAAGATGACTGCAGGTAGTATTTTCCTCATCAGGATCTGTCCTTACAGATTTTTTTCTTTCTGTTTTGCTTTCCAGGTTCCCGTAGGAAGCAGTAAACTGTGCTAGCCTTTGCTTTGGTACTGACTCTTCTGTAGCAAACATTACTGGATTTGCCAGGCAACTTTCTCGATTCTTTACCCAATGGGAGGTACACCCTCCACTCCCAGGATCTCCTCTTTAGGTGTCATCATATTAATAAGGAACGCTTGTTCGTTTCAGTTTCTTACTCCTGTGCAATCACTTAAGCAGTGCAGTATAATCTAGCCGCCACTGAGCTGTGTGAATCCACTAGCTGATTTAACAGCTCGCTCTTAGATTGTTTTGAGTCTTTCCTCTTTTATTTTTAAGCTTTGGCTGGGACCTTTGACAAATAGGCATGCACATACAACAGGGAGGAAAATCCAAGAAATAAGTTGGATTATGGCAATGCAGCAGAACATCAGAAGTACAAGTCCTTTCCATGTTAGGACGACTTAGCAAAGAGAGTTACAAGAGGAAATGTGTTTCTTCCTGTGCTGGATAAGACAGCTGAGCCAACCTGAAAGAGAGACTGTCTTCATAACATACACCAGCAAAAGCCAGAACCTGGGAACAGTGAGGAAGAAATTGCTTATAGAACAAAATTTCTTAACTGCTGTATTTCTTTCTAGGGTTTCCAGCAATTTGGGTAGAATGTGTAAGCAGGCATTTAGCTCCAAGATATAGGATAGAACAGTTAAGAGGAAGTAAAATTTCAGCTGAAATTAGACCTTGTGTGCATGACTTTTAAGACATGCCAGGGAGTTGATGAAGCTGTGAGTTGTGGATTGGGAAGAATCACACAAACAGATTTAAATGCCTGAAGGGATCTCTGTGGTCACCTGCTTTGAGCTTTGGTGTGGTAGAAGCCAAGGAATTTCACTGAAGCCAAGTAGGAACTACAGTAACTCCTAGCTCTGTTGCTGATGCACTTGAGTACAGTAGCTTGTATGTGAACCTGCATATGTCTTGGAGACGTGGGACTGAAGGAGGGCCATGTAGGCATTGAGCGCTGAATCCAACATCTACTGTTACAGACAACTCTGAGCTAGACGCAGAGTGCCGAACAGTCCACACAGTGTCTGTGCTGACTGCCTCCCCTCTACGCTGCCCCTGTCCAGGACCTCAGGCAGACTCCAGTCAGGATAAAACTATTGCTCTCTAGGGCATAGCAGGGTCTGTGAGAATAAGTTGTCTGTATAGATTTGCCCATGCAGTGATTTTATTTTTTTTTTCATTTGATGGCTTGTTTTCCCTCCACTATTTAAAAACCATTCTTATCTTGCACAAACAAGTAGCCATTTCCCTTGGCCTCCTCTCATTTCAATTCTTTTGTCTTGTTAATATTTTTTTTCCGTTTTTTCAAGTGCATTTTTAAACTGCAAAACCAAGCATCTGGATACTGGCTTGGACTTTGTTCATCCAGTCCAGGCCGGTTATTCATTTGGCAGTCTAGTTCACAGCAGTAAAGCCTGGCTGCATTGCCCCTGCAGCCCAGCTTCCTTACTGCCCGACCCCGAGTCTGTCCTTTGTCTTCTGCTGGCAGCTGCAGTTCTGCTGCTGGGGTTGCTGGGGAGGGAGACAGATCTGTGACTCACCCTCCTCGCCAGTCTGCCTGGGCAAGTGGCCGGACAGCTCTGTAGAGCTTTGTGGAGAGCACATGCTGGTATAGAGCACCGATAGGAAATCAGAAGAGATTGTGGCTCTCTGATCTTGTGCTGATGCACAATTCAAGCTCCAAGGCAGCTGTAAGGCTTTGCCCTTGGCTGTTGTCCTTGGTCAGGATAGTTACTGAGGCAAATCGCTAGGAAGACAAGACAACTTTGTCACCTAAGTTGCAAGGGCATCTTTAATATCACAGCATAATCCCTTGCCTTGCCTTGACCAGCAGCTCAAGAGACCCATCTCCTACCCCCCTGGCTGTTGGCTGTTCTTCCTACCTTCACTACCTGTGAAGAACCAGTTAACCCCTGACAGACCTCTGCTCCAGGCAAACACTAGCCAAAAGTTCTGTAACATAGGACTTTGTGCATCGGCAGCATCCCGTTCGCTGCCTACCCTTGCTTCCAGACCGTGAGCTTGCTCACCTGCATGAACCCTTAAGTGACTCGCAAGCTCTTGCTTGCTGCTTCTTCTCAGGAAATATCCCAGCCAGCGGCTAGATTTTACTGTCCTTGCCTTGTTCCCTCTTCTAGTTCCATCTCTGTCCATTCAGAAGTGTTAATGTTGTTTTAAAGGATCTGGAAAAAAACAACATAGACTGTATTTTTTTTCCTTTTTTTATTTGATAACTTGGGCCAATGTGGCAACCTCGTCTGCAATTATTTTATTTTGTAAAGATTTATTTTTGTATTTCATGTAACAGTCAAAATTTCTACTGCTAAAAATGCCATTTTTTCCATGGGTTTTTCCCCTCCATTGCCATCAGAGTCTTTATTGTGAAATGGATGTCTGGTGGGGTTTTATGAACTAATACTTTCTACAAATACCCTAGTCCAGGCTCGGCTGCTTGTATCATCTGGTGCAATTGTGAAAACCAGGTGGGGAAAAACCCTGCCACATCAGAAAGTGGTTGTGCTTTGTTCTCACTGTGCATGGGGAAAAATGGTCACCCTCTGCACAAGGCAAGGGGAGATTGCCAGCGGGGCATTCGGTGCTCCCTGGGCCTCTGTAGCTGGCTGTGATGGGCTTTCTTGTGCTGCAGCTGGCTGATGTGGCTTCTGTCTGTCTTTAATCGGAAAAGTCATGAAGGCCCTGAGTCTGCTGACATTTGAAGAACCTGTTAATTCAGGAGGCATTTGTAGTAGTATCCAAGTTGTTGACTTCAATGGGAGCGAGTGGAAATTATATGGGAGAAAACTCTGGTTGATTTTGTTTGCAAGCGGGGTAAAGTCTGTGAACACCTCAGTGCCTACTCTGTGGAGCTGCAGGATCTCCTTAATGGCCTCCTCAGGCCAGCCAAGCTCTCCAGCCATGGCACCAAGAGACGAGAGCCCAAGGGAAGGATCCCAGGAGCATCTGCTGCTTCCTTGGATGCCTTCAGGGAGCACTGAATGCTTTATGGGCTGCTTTGCTCTAGTCCTTACCTTTTTATTCATTTGCTGTCCCTTGCAAGCGTTTCTCCTCCCGTTTTATTTTTCTGTAGCCCTTGTGAAAAGGGAGCCCTGAGGTTTTGTTAGAAGGGGCTGACCCCTGCCTCCAGAGAGGGGGGGGAATGCTACAAATGGTAGCTGAGGAAAGCATGTAATAAATGAGGTATAAACAGAGCAGTTCTTCTAATATCCTGTGGGCCTCATGCAGTCAGCAGGTTAGAGACTTCCTGAGGCAAAGGTTGCAAGTGGACTTGCATGTTTGCTAACCACTTTTGGAAGGAGATTCCATGGTCCCATTGAAGTCAACAAGAGTTAAGATCATGGATGAACAAAGGAGCCAATTAATCTTGGGGCTCAGGCCACAGTTCTGCTGAGAGTCAAGAAGATGCAGCTGTGTAGGCGAGATGCAAAATCAGCACCTTGCTTGTGTGTCCCTGGAAAGAGGCACAATGAAGTTGATCTTTTAAAAAGAAACAATCAGAGCAATATTTCCTTTCTATGACAGAAAAATGTTGAAGTAACTTTATTTTTTCCTTGTCTTCTCTTGCCAAGTTTCAGTAGCTTTGCCTATGGTTTTGCTCTGGATTTAATGGCATGTCGGAGCCCTTGCTGAGACCCTTGCCCAGGTCATTCAGGTCTTGCGTCCCTTTCTGACTCTGTGCATATACAAGGCAACAGGCACCATGTGGAAAATTCATCACCGTGAAATCCTGGCACTTCCTAATCTCCATAGTAGGCACACCTCACCAGCAAGAGCTCTCGCCACCTCCTCGCCTCCGTCCGAAGCACAGTGTTCTGCAGAAGAGAGGTTGGGCGAACCTGAGTGATCGTGCCTTACATGCAGGGATACTCAATGTCTTCAGGCTGATCTGAGTCACCTTGCTATGAAACACTGTCTTAATGTGGACTGTACAGCTTCCTGCAGCACGAAGCAGTGGTTGTCACGTGGATAGACCCGACAGGCTAATCTCATCTTTTTTTAAAAGAACTTCATGGGTTTGAACTTAGTGGGGGTGGGAGAACAGCAGCTGTTAGGGGATAGATGAAATCTCATCATTGAATTTCTCCCCTTGGGGAGGAAGGACAGAAGCTACAAATGCTGCAGTCTGCTTCACTCTGTAAAAGGGATCTTGTATGTACAGTATTTTTATATCTCTGCATTCCCACCTGTCAGGATTTGAATCAGGATTAATAACATTCTCTTAGGGGGAAAAAAAAAAAGGATTTTTATTTTTACAGTGCTAGACCTTTGTGCATTTTTTGTGCCAAATTACCGCCACCGTTACATTCTGGTGTTTTCATTCAGTTTATTGCTATTGATCAATGTGTATATTATATATTTTTATTATCAAGGATTTTATTTTAATTCATATTAACCTGTATGCAAACTAACTGTGGATTGCTAATTTATATATAAAGTGGAGTACTTGGAGACAGTGTGAGGATTCCCCTACTTAGTTTACACTCTTGTAATCTAGTGCAGCCAGTCCATGAAACTCATCGCTTCTTACACGGAATGACCTCCTGGGTGTCTGTCACCCCGAGCAGATTGCTCCTGCTGTTCCTCCGGGCAGCGCTGACGCTGCAAGGCTGTGAGAGATGCAAGAGGAAATAAAGCACAGCTCAGAGCAGGGACTGATGGGTGACCGAGCTCTCTGCTGTCCGGCTCCTGGCAGTGATGTCAGGGAGGGTGTCACTGTCTGGGGCTGATGGTGAGGGTTACTCTGCCCTGTATCCATCCCCAGCTGATGGACAGTGTTGGTTTTGCCCCACTCTCTCAAGATGCTCAGTGCTTAGTTTTGCAGTTGCTTTTGCAGGTGGGTGTGGGATAGAGCGCAGAGGCACGGCAGTGCCCCTCGCATGAAGTATAGCACAGCCACCTTGTGTCTCTTTTGTTTCGGAGGACAGGCATAAACCTACAGAGATCCCAGTTTACCATACTCTTTAAAATACGTGCCGTAGCACACTTCTGGCCCTGTAAATCTGCTCTGGCTGTGCTGCCCGCAAGTGCCGCTTGGACTGCTATGCCCAGGACAGGCTGCAGGACGCAGGTTTTGTGTTGAGAAGCTGCACTGCCCTCAGCTTCTGGGCTGGAGATACTATCAGCCACCTCCTCCCCGTGAGTGACACAGGGCAGGGCTTAGCTGTGCAGTTTGGGCTCTTCCAGGACAGTCCCAGAGAGGACAGTGGCACATGCAAATGAGTATTTTTCTACTTTACAGTAAACAAGTTCCACTGTATCAGTGTTCACTCTAAGTAGACTCCACGGTGCGTCTCCACCTGCATCTGTGCACTGCCATATAGTTAACTGCCTCAGAAATAACTGCAATTGTCTCATTTAGCTCTCCAGGATAAACTTTCAGCCTGTTGAATCTAAATATTAGCCATGTGA